CAGTGTTGGGAAGGGTACTTTTAAAATGTATTCCACTACAGATTACAGAATACATGCCCCAAAATGTATTTTGTAACGTATTCTGTTACGTTACTCAATGAGAGTAACGTATTCTGAATACTTTGGATTATTTAATATATTATCATATATTATGTTTACAACTACATGAATGTACTATTGCTGTGTGATTTATTACCGTTATTGAAGGTTACTTGCCATATAAATACCAACTAGATTTTTAAATCTTAATATAAAATGAGTAACAGTAGGTGGACATTAGGTAAGGCTGCACTTTTTGCAGCGATCTCGTAAAGAAAACTATTCAGCGCGTATATAAAACAGGTCTGAGGCTCCAAACTGTAGTAAAGGGACCTCTGGCTAATACGTCGGGCTCATAGCTGAAAACTAGCTTTACTTTGTTGTCTGGGTCAACTTTGCTAGTGAGAGACAGAGACAAGCGATGAAAGGCTGCTCCAACAGAACTTGTTGTTTCGGAGAAAAACACAAACACAGTGTACAGTCGAGTCTTAATAGCTTACTTACAACTGGGCTCCTCAGGCACTCTTTTTGGCTGCAGTGGTTATTATTATATTTACATGCTTCCAGCTCCCGTTTCTGCTCGGAGACAGCTCGCACTTTTCCACTCTCCTTTCTCTCCCTCCTTGTGCTCACAGACATATAAGGGGTATGGCAGTCCATTCTCCCTGCAGCACGGACTACACTGCCCATGATGCTACATTCTTTAGGGCTATGCCTGTAATACTCTGCCTATTGCCTTCATATTAAAATAAGTTTTGAATAATAATTTTTACTAATATTTCTTCACGTCATTATGCAGGCCGCAAGAAGGGGTGACATGGGCCGCGAGATTGAGACACAGACATTAGAGCCTCTTAATGCGTGTTTTGTTTGGGTTTCCACCAGCGTGGAATTACCAAAACTAGAGAGGGGACAGCCAAACATATGAAACAGGAAAAGACCGCCATGTAATCCATTTATTTCAACAAAGTAACTGTTTTAAGAATACCACCTTTTTAAACGGTAACTGTAACGGAAAACAGTTACTCATATTTTTCTATTTAAATCCATAACACCGTTACATTACATTACATTACACATTACTCACACATCTCATAACACAAACATATAGGATATTGGGGGTGGGCACGATACACGGACTCCAAATTACCATCAGGGTGTACACCTCACCCCTGGCGTCGTTGCCCACCTCTCAATTTTAAATACACGTAGACATTGAGGGCTAGCAGGAGGGACCATGCGCTTACCTGCTGCTCTCTGGCAGGTAGCTCCATGCCCTCCTGGGTTTTAAATGCACCTTAGAACAC